ACATCCCCCATCCTCCTCTGCTCACACTTGTTAAGAGTGCTGTATTAGTGACCTTCTCATCGTTGTAACAAAGTACCTGGGAGAATCAGCCTCAGGAAAGGAGGTTTATTTTGGCTCATTGTTTGGGGGTACACTCTATCTAGGTGGGGAACACACAACCCCAGAAGCATAAAGCATCTGGTCAGGAAGAGAAAGAGATAGGATACTGTTGTGTACCCAATTTTCTTCTTTTAGTTTATCCCAGGCCCAGCCCGTGGAGTGATGCCCTTCACATTTAAAGTGGGTCTTCCCACCACACTTCATCTAATCCAGAACCTCGCTTGCACACATAGCCAGAGGTTTGTCTCCTAAGTGATCCTAGGTCCTGTCAAGTTGATAGTATTGGCTTCTATCTTCTCGAAGGAAAGAATCCAGTCAAGAGACAGTTTAAGCAGAAGTTTATTAAAGCTAAGCAATTCAAACACTCCGAAGAGAGACGTGGGTGGACTGCCCCAAGGTAGGCAGCAGTCTAGTAAGTTCTTGTTTGGGATTTTTAAAGACATGTTTATGAATATTCATGAGGTAGGTCGCATATTCATGGAGCAAGATAAATTTTCCTTCCCAAATCATGTCAAAACAGTTATCCCTTTAACATGGGTCAGGGGTAGATGTCCAAAACTACAATACAAGTGATATGACAATGATGTTAGCTCTTTTGAAGATGCACATGTTTGTGGGAGAATGTCCTGGTAACTGAGAAGCTGAGGGTGACCTTGAACTTCTGAGATCCTCCTACTCCACCTTCAGAGTTCTGGGGTTACCTTGCCCAGCCTATGTGGTCCTAGTGATCAAACACAGGGCATCATGCACACTAGGTGTGCTGGCTAGTTTTAAGTCAACTTGACACAGTCTAGAGTCATTTTGGAAGAGGAAACCTCAATTGAGAAAATACCCCCATCAGGTTGGCTTGTGGTCAATTTTGTGGGGCACTTTCTTGATTGTTATGGAAAGGGCCACACCACTGGGGGTAGTGTCACCCATGGGCTGGTGGTCCTGGTGCTATAAGAAAGCAGCTTGAGCAAGCCATGAGGAGCAATCCAGGAAGCAGTGTTCTTCCGTGGTTCCTGACTCGTGCTTCTGCCCTGACTCATGTCAGTGATGGAATGCGATGTGGAAGTATAAAGCTGAAGCAACCCTTCTCTCTCCACGTTGCTATGATGTTTATCATGGTAACAGAGAAGTAGCTTAGACCCTAGGCAAGTACTGAGTACACCCCAGCCCGCCCCCAGTTCTTCACCGAACACCTACCACAGTGGCATTCAGAGTGTGACCCCTAGACTTCCAGGAACCCAAGTTCTGGGAGAGTAGAGGAGCTCTGCAGTAGGTTCCACAGACTCCACAGATGCCAGTGTGAACTTAGCTGAAATTCACATGCCAGGAACGGCTCTAAGTGCTGGGGTCCACAAAGCAGAGGCAGCCCTTCAGGGCCGGGGAGGCACAGGGTTAGCAGTTGTGGGTTTAATTTGGGAAGTGGGTATCCTGGCAGGGAAGGATGGCTGGGGATGCTGTGACTTAAGAAATGTTGCTGGCAGGCACCCCAGGGCTTCACCCCAGATCTTACTGGTGCCCTGCCCATCGTCCTACTGTGCCCCCACCCCAGGCTTCACTTCCCCCTCTTCTAAGAGTCTCAGGCTGCTGCCTCTCCTTCCTTTTGGCTGTCTCTTTGTGTTTTTGTGTTTGTTTTCTTTTACCCCTGGGTCTTATGTAACCCAAGCTGGCCTCAAACTCACGCTGTAGGTGATGATTACCTCACAATTCTGATCCTCTTGCCTCTGGGATTACAGGCATGCACCACCACTTCCAGATTACTGCACAGGGGTCAAACCCAGGGCTTCTTGCATGCTAGGCCAGCACACTGCTGACTCAGCCACATTCCCCACCCTATACCTGCCCCATTAAGCTGGGTTTAAAGTAAAAGGCATGTGTGCCTTCAGGCCATTATCTCAGAGCACATTTTTAGAAAATGCTATCTATTGATTTGAGTGAATCTATTTCTGCTTTACAACAGACAAACTGAAGGGCTTTGTTATTTGTTAGTCTTTTAAATTCTAGACAGAAGAGTGAAATGAAAACATTAATTTAAGAATCCCAAAATCTGGACATACATGGTGGTGTAAGCCTTTAGTTCAGGCCAGCTAGGCCTACACAGTGAAACCCTGTCTCAGAGAAGGAGAGAGAGAGAGAGAGAGAGAAAGAGAGAGAGAGAGAGAGAGAGAGAGAGAGAGAGAGAGAGAGAGAGAACAGAGCTGAGCCTTGGCCCTGAAGTGCCATGACATCTTGGATAGGGAAGAGGCTGGGTTCAGACAAAGTGAATTTGTAGGAATAGAATCTCCTCCCACTGGGTCCTAGGAATAGACATCAGGTTGTCAGGTTTGGTGGCACGTGCCTTTACCCACTTGTTTGCAATAATATGCAAATGGACACAGCAAGGAAACTGCTGGAATGACCACTCCATTAGGGGAAGGTTTTTATTGTAAATGAGAGAAACTATCCAGAGGCATCTGGAAGAGTCCAGAGCAGAGAGAGAAAGTGGACTGGACATGGACAAAGCTGTCTTAGAGAGAGGCAGAGAGCACAGGGTGGAAAAGTCATGTGGGTTATAAGGAGGATGGGTAGCTGGGGGCAGGTAAACCCATGAGTGGACCCCAAAGTTTAGGGTAGGGAGGAGGTTGGAAAGGCCAGGAGGCTAGTGTGGGGGCTTTGAAATATATAATGGGTACTGGTGAGTAGGGACTGAGAGAGCCTGGAGACCAGCATGGGCTTTGACATGCAACCACAGGTATACATCAGTGGAGAGCCACATGTCCTTTCTGCCAAAGGCAAAATGTCCCCTTTTGAGTTAACAGGAACCCATTTCACACGTTCCTGAAGAATGCTGGCTTTTATCTAACTGCCAGAAATCCTCCTATAGTCCAGCATGAGCTCATTCCTGACATATGGACTGCCTGAGCTCTAACACCACTGAGCCGTCTCATCAGGGCCCATATCCTGTCTCATTGACCTGGGACTTGCTGATTTGGCTATGTCAGATGGCCCAGGGAGCCCTAGGGATCCTTCCCCCCAGTTGTGGGATTACAAGTGAGCACCACTGTGGTAGGTTGAATGTATTTGGTCCCCATAAGCTCACAGGGAGTGAACTATTAGGAGGTGTGGTCTTGTTGGAGGAGGCTGGATAACACACGCCTTTAAAACGGACCTTGAGGCTGGAAGGCACCTTTAATCTGGCCTATACCTTCTGTTGGAAATGTGTCACTGTGGGGGTGGGCTTTGAAGTCTTTTTCTCGAATGTCACTGGGTATGATAGTTGATTTCCTGTTGCTTGCAAGATGTAGCAGCAGTCTCAGCTCCAGCACCACCTCTGCTTGCATGGTGCCATGCTCCCTGCCTTGAACCTCTGAAACTGTAAGCGATCCCCCTCAAAAAAAAATGTTTTCTTTAGAAGAATTGCCGTGGTCATGGTGCCTCTTCACAGCAATAGTAAACCCTAAGACAACAACTATGCTGACTTTTTTACATGGGTGCTGGGTATTGAACTTAGGTCCTCATGCCTGCAAGGCACAGTATTCTGTCCACTGAACATTCTCTCCAACCCTTTTAATCCACCTCTTAAATGCCCTTCCTCTTTGTATCTCATAATGGGGTTACCTTTCAATGTGAGTTTCAGAGAGGACAAAGCAGATTCACCCCAATGGAGGAATGAGATACAGTGTACCTCCTGGAAGATTTGCAGCTGTGTGTCCAATCCAGCTTCTTGGCCTTATTTAAACCCCCGGCCTTTCAGTGAATCACAGAGGATACCTCTGGTCCCCCTCAGCCCGAGCACATGTGTCCTATCCCCAGACCACTCTCGGAGCAGTGGAGTGGCCCCCAGACCTCAGCACTCATATACAGAACCAGACACACCACTCAGGAATGATGGACTCAGCAGTGGTAGAAACAAGCCACAGGGCCAGCCAAGACCAAGGATGTTGTTGAGCCAAGGGCGTAGTTGAGTCCCGGGGATGATGGCTCATCTCCAACAGTTAACTGTGGCTCTTGCATAACCTTGGCTTCTCTGCAGGTCATGGGACTTACAGGGCTCAACTAGGTAGAAAACAAGGAAGCAAGCCTTGGAGTGCAGAGACAGGTGAATCACAGAATCCAGGCTCAACCCCAAAGCGGGTTTACTCTTCAGCCACAGAAATAATAGTCCTTAGAAACTCTTTCAAAATAAAACTTGCGTGTGTGATGCCTGGGATTAAACCCAGAGTCTCTATGCTGAGCAAGCATATAAAATTTTTTTAAAGTTTTTATTATTTATTTTTATTTTTAATTGTGTGTTTGTGTATGGACACATGCACCATGAATGCAATGCCTGTGGAGGTCAGAGGCATCAGATTCTCCCTGAGCTGAAGTTACAGGCAGTTGTAAACCACACACTGTGCGCTGGGAACTGAACTCACATCTTCAAAAAGCAGTGCTCTCAACCACTGAGCCACCATTCCAGCCTATATTTTACATATATTCAGTTTGCATATATTGCATATAAATGGGTTTTTGCATATATTCAGTCATGCAGCTGTCACCTCAATTTTGTAATATTTGTGTCAATACAACAAGAAACCCTGTGCTGCTGGGGAGCTCACTCCCCATTTTCCCGAAGCCCTCTTCTGCCTGCCATCACTAATCCACTTTCTGTCTGTGCATCTGTTTACTCTTGGTGTTTCACACTGGTGGACTCATAGGCTACATGGCCCTTCCTACCATCTTCCTCCTAAGCATCTACTTTCATTTGTTTGTTTGAGACAGGTCTCAGTGAGTAGCCCAGGCTGGTCTTGAACTCAGAGTCCTTCTGCTTCAGTCTTTCAAGTGTTTGGATTGTAGGCATGCACTACTTCAGCTGGCAAGCATCCTACTCACAAGGGTCATCCATGCTGGGGCAGGTGTTAATGTATAGTTCCTCTTTACGGCTGAGTAGCATTCCACTCCTGGGATGGTCTCTGTTGTCAATCAGTTGGTAGCATTTGAGTTATTTCTACTTTTTGATACTATAAATATTGTTAAAATGTATTCTTATATGGATGTGTTTTCATTTCTCCTGGGAGCAGAATGGTTGGAGTCGTGGAAAACTCTCTGCTTAACTTTAGGAGGGTCCTTCTACAGTGACCACGCCACTTTCCATTTGCACACAGCGTTCGAACTTCTGACTTCTGGGCTAGTGAGATGGCTCAGCAGGTGACTATAGAAAAAATGGCCCTATCAGATATGGGATTTTCTAAGGTCCTCTCCTGTTCTTGTGGGTCAACATTTTAGTGTCATGTTGGTGGATGGGGGATGGGGGATGAGGGGTGGTGCTTATGTGTAGCAGGTTAGCAGGACCCGGGTCTAGGAGGGACTGTCAGAGGCAAACATCTTCAATAAATTCCTGACCATGAGAGATGAGGCTGAGGAATAAAAATATTCTGTAAGACAGGAGTGCTGGAGACATGGCTGCCCTGGATTTTCTTTGCATCACTGCATAAACCAGCTGCATTGGTGCACACCTCTAATCCCAGCACTCAGGAGGAATTAAAGGTTATCCTCCTCTATATAATGAGTGTGAGGAGAGACTGTGCTACATGAGACCCTTTCTCAAATTAAAAAAAAAAAAAAAAAGCTGGGGAAGTGGCTCAGAGGGTAGAGATCTTATATAGTGCAAGCGTGAAGACCTAAGTTCAGATTCCTAGAACGTACATTAAAGCCGAATGCATTGGTATGTGCCTGGACTCCCAGTGTTCTCGTGACAAGGCAAGTAGCAGAGATGGGAGAATCCTTGGAGCTTACAGCCCACCTAGCCTGTTGTGCACAGTAGTGAACAACAAAAGACCCCCATCTCAAATAAGGCGGTAGGTGAGGACTAACATCGAGGTTATTCTCTGACCTCCTTGTTTGAACTATGGGGATGTGCACACCCTTTCAACCTTTTCATCCCACCCCCACAACAGCTCTCTCTCTCTCTCTCTCTCTCTCTCTCTCTCTCCCTCTCTCTCTCTCTCTCTCTGTGTCACAAAGGTTAAAGAAGAAACAAACCCATAAGTGGCCAGAGGATGTAGATTAGTGTAGAATGAATTGGAGCCTTAGTGTGTTCCAATCCCTGCATTCATCCTTAGAGTGTGGACACACCCGATAATAACATGTGGGCATCCCTGGAGTGTGGACACACCCAAGGATAGCATGAGCATCCCTGGCAGTCTGAGGTTATCCTGGGTTCTGGTGGGAATCTGCCTGCTTTTCCTTATAGTATGTATTGTAATTTGTAAGGATAACTTTGCCCAAAGGTCCATGACCACTTAGAACCTGAAGGGTTGGCATAACCCATGAGAAAAGGCTAGGGCCATTGGCGGCAGGACTGTCCTTATTCCTGCCTACCCAAGAGCAGGCAGGAGCTGGCACGTTGGTTATACTTCAGCGCCAAAGTTGCAATCCGTGTTTTGGCTTTTCTGGGAAGTGAGATGGGACAAGGAGCCTGGCAGAGACCCAGAGGGGACTGGGTCATCCCAACCACAGTGCTCTTTTGTCTGTAGCTTGGCAGGGAGGTGAGTAGATCTGTATGCAGGCTACAGACCTAGGTCTACCAGCTGCAATTGGATCCCCTCTCCCTCTGTGCCCTCAGTCTATAAATAGATCCCATATCAGGGGCCAGGCACAGCTAGAGGCCAGACCAGACAACTCAAACTCTTACCTCCACCAAACACACAGGCAGCAGTGACTTCTGGGCCTCTCAGAACTCCAGGATGTGTGCCAACCACTCTGTCCTTCTCCATGGCTGTCAGACCAGTGGCAGGCCTTGTGCTTGGGTGTGGCCATACCCATGAAGAACTGTGAGGGAGGGGCTGGGGAAGTGTATCAGTGGGTAAAAAGCATTTACAGTGCAGGCATGAGGATCTGAGTTTGAATCCTCAGAACCCACAAAAAAGCTGGATATTGTAGTGAGTGTCTGTAACCCCAGCATTCCTATGGGGAGATGGATGGGAAGTGAAGACAGAAGTTCCCCGGGCCAGCTAGCCTGGTATGCACAGGAGAAACAACAGATCCCATCTCAAACACGGCAGAGTGAGGATCAACATACAAGGCTGTTCTCTGTCCACACATACACAGACTCACAGCTGTGCACACATATGTACAACACACACACACACAGACACACACACACACACACACACACACACACACACACACACACACCTGTGCTAGTGGCCTGATTTAGTTGCCAAGACCAAGGGTTTCAAGCTTTCCTCCTGCCAGTTTTCATATGTTGATTTTGTAAGGTTTTGCACAAAGCCTTCCCCAACCTTATTCTCTGCCCTATTCTCCTGTCTCAGGAATTTGAGAGTAGAGATGGAAGACACACTTCTGTCAATCCAGGCTTCTGAGATCATCAGGTGGTTAGCAAATGTAGACATCCTAGTCTTTGGGGTCAGGTGGGATGCCCCTCCCCCACCAGGTTCTAGGTGGCTGAACAGAGGGTCTCCATTGCCAACCTTCAGAGCGCTTGCCCTGATTCCCCCTGGCTCATCTCTAATCTCTAGGGCCTAAGAGGTGCCTGGCATTGATGCAGAGGGGGCTGCTCCTGCAGCCAGTGCTTTCTCAGTACTTATGACACCTGTGAGTGTAGATGTGCCCAGCCCTGTTCGACTTACTTCTGCAACCTTGTAAGGAATGCACTATTAATTATTTTAATTTGTATGTGCATGTGTATGTGCATGCATGCATGCTTGCACGTATGTATGTGTATAGGTCAGAGATCAATATCAGATGTCTTTTTCAGTCACTCCCCACCTTTTTTTTTTTTTTTTTTTGAGGCAGGGTCTCTCACTGGGACCTGAAACCAATTTAGCTAGTCTGGCAGGCCCATGGTTCCCAAGGGATCTGCCTGACTGCACACAGGTAGGAGTATATGCTACCACACCTGACTTTTGTACATGGACTCTGGAGATACAGACTCAGATCCTCATTCTTATGTGGCAAGGACTTTATCCTCTGAACCATCTCCCCATCCCAGGTCATTGCTACCTTACCATTCTTCTCTGTAGAAGCAAGTACAATCAGTATCAGCAACCGTCATGGCAACGTCATAACTTTGTCCATTGTGCTGGAATTCTGGCTTCTCAGCTGGTGAGAAGCTTCAGCCAGATTCCTTTCCCATGTCCTCTTAAGTTTCCCTGTCTTCTTTCTTTCCCTATGTCTGTGTGTGGTATGTGGAGGCCCAAAGCTGGCCTACATCCCCTGTTCTCCACCTTACTCAATGAAGCAGGGTTTCAAGGTGAACCCAAAACTCACCAATATGACTAGTCTAGCTATTCAGCTTATTCTAGGAATCCCCTCTCTTTGCTTTCTGAGTTCCGTGCCCACCCAGCATTTATGTGGGCTCTGGGGATCCAATCTCTGGTCTTCATGCTTGCATGGCAAGGGCTTTACCTGCTGATCCATCTTCCCAGCCTTCATTTTCTGTCTTTGCAGCCTTCCTCAGCGGGCAGGAGTCTCCCCACTCCCTGTGCATACGTGTTCTCATCTGGGTAGGGGCTGCTCTTGCTCAGCTTGTCGCCTGTGTTTGCAAATGGAATATTTAGTAATATCTGCTGGATGAAGGCCTGACCAGCCATGTTTGACACAAGGTGGGAGGTAGTGGACCAGATACCCTGGGAGCCCAATAGTGACCAGGTCTCTGACTTCTCTTACAGCCACCGCAATGTCGGGGGAGATGGACAAGCCACTGATCAGTCGCCGCCTGGTGGACAGTGATGGCAGTCTGGCTGAGGTCCCCAACAAGGCTCCCAAAGTGGGCATCCTGGGCAGTGGGGATTTTGCCCGCTCCCTGGCTACACGCCTGGTGGGCTCTGGCTTCAGCGTGGTGGTTGGCAGCCGTAACCCCAAACGCACAGCTGGCCTCTTCCCCTCTGCAGCCCAAGTGACTTTCCAGGAGGAGGCTGTGAGCTCTCCACAGGTCATCTTTGTAGCCATGTTCCGGGAGCACTATTCCTCACTGTGCAGTCTTAGTGACCAGTTGGCTGGCAAGATCCTAGTGGATGTAAGCAACCCCACAGAGAAGGAGCATCTTCAGCAACAGCAGTCGAACGCCGAGTACCTGGCCTCACTCTTCCCTGCTTGCACTGTGGTCAAGGCCTTCAATGTCATCTCTGCCTGGGCCCTGCAGGCTGGCCCAAAGGATGGGAACAGGCAGGTAGGTGCTAGGGGATGACAACCAGCATCCCTCACATCGCTCTAAAAGTCTCATCTTGACAGCAGGAAGTCGAAGCTTGGAGACATTAATGAGCTTAGCCCAGCACTGGTGAGTTGGGATTTGAACCCTATTTATATGGATGTGGAATCCATGGTGGCTGTTGACTTGGGAGTTGAGAAGGAGATATTTTGGGGTTGCAGAGATGGTGCAGTGGGTAAAATGCATGCCATGCAACCATTAGAACATGTTTAGAGCCACATAAAAACTGTATATAGTAGTTGTAATCCCAGCACTGGGGTGCAGAAACAGCCAGATCCCCTAGGGCTTGGTAACCAACCAGTCTAGCCAAAAAGGCAAGCTTCCAGTTCAGTGAGAGACCCTATTTCAAAAAACAGAATGGAAAGGGATAGGATAAGACACCTGACTTAACCTCTGCCCTCAACATGCACACACATATGTACTCATATGTACCCACATGCCTACAGTCTCACAAACACCACACACAACCAAAAAAAACCAGAACAAAACAAAACAAAACCAGACTCCATACCTGTGGTAGAATGTCCACCAATAAACCTATCCAGAGCCCAGCTCTGAGAGAACCTAGAGGTACCTGGCTATTCCTCACTGTGTGACCTAGATGTGGCTGCACCCTGGCACTTTCAGGTGGGCCCTAGACAGGTACAGTGGACAGGTTTTTATATGGTGCTCTCACTTCCTTTCCATTGCTGGGATAAAACACTGCCTGAAAGCAACTTAGGAGGCAAAGGGCTTATTTCAGCCTACGGTCACATGCCATCACTGGAGTAAATCAGGGTAAGAACCTAGGCCTCTATGCTATTTATGCAGCATCACTGCTGTACAGGGAACTCACTCTCAGCCAAGAAAGTACAACAGAAACCACAGAGGTTTACTGGCTCATTCAGGCTCATGGCTAACTAGCATTTTTACACAGCTCAGGATCACCTGCCTAGGAATGGTGCCTCCCACAGTGGAATGGGCCCTCCTGCATCAATTAACAATGAAGAGAATCCACCACAGACATGCCCATAGGCTCATCTGATTGGTGCAATTGCTTAATTGAAGCTCTCCTCTCAGGTGACTTAATGGCCTTGTGACAGAAAAGCTGACTGGGACAGAGGGCTTGGAGGGGAAAGAGCAAGGGGACTTGCTAGAGAAGACCCTCAACTGGTCTTAGACTCAGGATCAGGAAGCAGGAGGGTACACCAGGCTGATTTGACAACCTGCATAGGTACCAAAGTCAAAACCGAGGTTCTCAGAGATGGGTCTATTAGTGCTGACCTGTAGGCTGTGCAGGAGCCTGAGATCACTCCTCAAACAGATGTACTGCTGGAGACTAGATAGACCTCAGCTGTGTCAACAGGGGTCCTCAGGGTCCTTGGGGACCCAAAGATACCAATATGTCTTCCACTGGAGCTCAGGAGGTGCAGTGGACTTGCAGGCTGAGATGGCAGAGCAGGCAGGGCTGGGGACTGAGGTCTCTGTGGAATCAAGGGATAGCACCATAGAGAACATACTCTGCACTGAAGGATGCATCCACAGCTGCTCTGCCTTGTAGTGGCCACATGTAAGAGGCAGTCACTGAACAGTCAGTCCTCAAAAGCAGCTGTTTCAGAGGCAACAGAGGTTGCTGGACTGAGCATCTGCCATGACAGTGATATCATCAAGCCAGCAGGACACCCACAAGGAGAGCTTTGTCTCTGCATCTCTGGGAGAGTCTACAGGACTTCCATTCCCAGATCCCTGGCGTGAGCATCAGAGCCATCTTGCATTTTTGGATGTACCATCGGTTGGCCACTCACTGGTGCCTGCCCCTCTGTGCCTCAGTTTCTTCAAATCACTGACCCTGGTGGTCACCATAGTCATGCCCATACCTGTGACTCTCGCCAACTTTGTCCCCCTCTTTCTTCCTACAGGTGCTCATCTGCAGTGACCAGCTGGAAGCCAAACACACCATCTCAGAGATGGCACGTGCCATGGGTTTCACACCCCTGGACATGGGATCCCTGGCCTCAGCCCGGGAGATAGAAGCCATACCCCTGCGCCTCTTCCCTTCCTGGAAGGTGCCCACCCTTCTGGCACTGGGGCTCTTTGTGTTCTTCTATGCCTACAACTTCACCCGGGATGTACTGCATCCGTATGTGCGGAAGCATGAAAACAAGTTCTACAAGATGCCTTTGTCTGTGGTCAACACCACACTACCCTGTGTGGCTTATGTGCTGCTCTCCCTGGTATACCTGCCTGGTGTGCTGGCAGCTGCCCTTCAGCTGAAGAGGGGAACCAAGTACCAGCGCTTCCCGGACTGGCTGGACCACTGGCTGCAGCATCGCAAGCAGATCGGGCTGCTCAGTTTCTTCTTTGGGGTGCTGCATGCTCTCTACAGCTTTTGCCTTCCTCTGCGCCGCTCCCACCGCTATGACCTGGTCAACCTGGCTGTGAAGCAGGTACGATCCACCACCTCCCCTGCAAGCTGTCTGGGTACCATTGTGACTGTCCTCACTAATGCAGAATTAAGCAAGGCAAGCAAGACCAAGAGAGAGAGCAGGTATAGAAGTTCTTGAGCACAGAGATGGAAGACACAGCAGGAAGAGAGTGTCACTGTGTGTGTGTGTGTGTGTGTGTGTGTGTGTGTGTGTGTGTGTGTGTGTGTGTTTGTGTTGTGTGGGGTGTGGTGTGGTGTGTTGCTGCCTGTAAGTGCAGGTATGTTCCTGCCATGGAGCACTTGCAGAGGTCAGAGTTGGTCCTCACCTTCTTCCTTGTTTGAGGCAGGGTCTGTTGTCTTTTCCCTCTGCTTTCCCTGCTGTCCTTCAAGTTTCTAAGACTCTCCTGTCTTTACATTCCTTCTCTCCACAGGAGTGCTGGGACTGTAGCTGTGTACTACAGCATCTAACATTATGTGGGGTTGGGGGATCTGAAGTCAGATCTTATGGCTTGCCAACAAGCTCCAGATCTACCCATCTCCACTTCCCATCTTTGCATCCCTGGGATTAACATTGTGTGTGTGTGTGTGTGTGTGTGTGTGTGTGTGTGTGTG